GAGCCAGAGGTAAAGTTCAACAAACTTCCACCAGAATTCTAATGTACCAATGTTATCCCAGTCCGTTATAAGCACATGCTATAAAGCTTATGCTACTTAGCTGTAAAGAGCGCTGGTGAACGCTAGATCGATATGCATCCTCTCCCGGCACTGCCGCTGGCGTACGCTGGAAGCGCTACGCTACGCTGCGCTACGCTACGCTACGCTGCCGCAAAGTATAAACGCAGCCTTTTCGGACTTTCCGAAAGGTGACAAAGGGGTCTCAGCATAGTCATTTCGTGTCTAAAGGCACAAGGTACCCTTCGCCCATCCGAGCGGCAAACGGACCTCGAAGATAAGGTGATTAAGGTTCCTGACGCCCTGATGTGGAATGCCGACCAACTGAAGTTGACCGAATGGGCAAGTCGGACCCTGACAAGTCACACTGGCGTCGTGCTCTAAATAACACTCGTTTTCTTCGGAATGTTGGGTTGCTAAATGTGTTCGTCAGAAAAAGTGTGACGGTTAAAGAAAGAAAACGCGAGCTTAAGCTCCAAGAGGCTCGTGATAGTAACAAGGGCAAGGCTGTGCGCGAGTGAGTTGTTCACTAAGGGCACTGGAAGCATACTTCTGAGCTTCCCTCCGAACGTTTGGGAAACCTTTAACGTCGCGCGGTAACCTACCACTTTTTTGTCGTTTACTCAATGCCCGCAGTCTGTCCAGTAAGCTTGAACATTTGCATGCCTATATTGCCCTGTACGGCCCCGTTCTTCTGCTTGCAGAGACTTGGCTCAACAAGATTTCGATTCTGAAGTTCTCAGTAATTCACCATACTTACTTTATCGGCTGGATCGGAACGAGCGCAAAGGTGGTGGGCATGCTGTCCGGTCAAAGGTAATCTATGTGCGTACCCTGCTGAACATTTCGCTCCGGACAGAGCTGACGTGCTCATTGTAGAACTATTCTGCCCGCACAAAGCAACGTGGGTTCGTGTCTCAGTCGTTTATAGGCCTCCGAATTCAGTTGTATGTAAGGGCGAAGGGTTGATTCAATCCTCACAGGACATCATCTCAGCTCAGGCGAACAGGGTAATTGAAGGCGGTTTCAATCTGCTCATTGATTGGGGAAGCCTCCTTGCACCCAAATCAGCTTCAGCTGCTTTTCGTGACTTCTTTCTACAGTACTGTCTGCGAAGTCGCTCTTGCTCCTCCACTTGCAAACTCTGATCATGCATCTGTAGATTGCTGGAAGGGTCTAAAAATGATTTCGCTCTGCCATCCCCGTATTTCTCAAAAGCCGATTGAAGTCTCTTTTCTGAGCACTGACTGCCTTGAGTTATTCGACCATTACGACTCTGTGGACGATATTTACTGTAGGTTTGTGAAACTGTCTCTGACGCTTTGACATTATTTCTGTCCGTTTAAATTCACTACGTTTCAACCTCTTCAGTATCCCTCGCACATCAGGAAGGAACGTACTAGTGAAAAAAAGCCTACTCCACAGCTTGGAAACCCTCCCCCCCCCCTGATGAGTCCACTGTACAAGAAATTCTGTTCGAACGTTGATTATCATTTGAAGGTTCGTTGCAAACCTCGAACGCCGTTTGGGAGGGCAGGCGTCACTCAAGCGTATTTATGCGTACCTTCGTAACAAATTTAATTTCAGGCCGGGCCTTCTCACCTTGAAGGATCTCCTGGTACCAGTCTCCACTCTCTTGTGCTGGAAAAACAGACAACCAGCACCCAGTGTAGAGTCCCGGATATCTATTTCCACCCGAATGATGTCTGCCCGTAGCTGAAGAAGCTGAAGCCTTTCCCATAGCGAGCCTTCCGACAGAATACCTCAGATAATCTTCAGCAAATGCCATTACTCTTTGAGTAAGCCCCTCGCATACGTGTTTAAAATTTCCTTTCAGCTGGGCGAGGTTCCACAAATCTGGAAAGAAGCCATTATAACCGCTATTATAACCCCCATCCCTAAAAAAACCCGGTGCAAGCACTGTGAAGCGATTTCGGACTGATAAGCCTGATTTCCACACCTGTCAAAGAAATGGAAAAGATGGTTTGTAATAAACTCTTGAATTGCTTTAGTCGTTCCGACCTCATTCCTGCGTAAAGCATGGTTTCCCACCTGGAGCTTCAACCTGTACGAATCTTATTGACACTTTGTATGACGTTTGCAGAGCTGTTAACCAGGGGAAGTCAGTAGATATCACTCAGCTTGATCTGGTGGATGCATCTGATAGAGTTTGTCATCAGAAACTTCATAAAAAAGATTATACTCTCATGGTATTCGTGGGAATATGGTAGGTTGGATTAGGTCTCTTTTACAGTACAGGAACACGGCTGTCCGATTTGAAACTAGTTTCTCAAGAAATATACTGTGCTAGTGGCGTCCCGCAAGGTGAGTTTTATCTCCCTTGCTGTTCCTGGCACACCATTGAGCTGCTCCTGCTTCTTAAGACACATCCCGACATTCACGTACAAGTTTACGCAGATGACATCAAGGTATATTGTGCGTATAATAACGAGAAAGTGACGCCCTGCGAGGTGCGCTTGAGTTGTCAGTTGAAAGAAGGTGTGAGTGAGCAGCTTTGTGACATACCTCTGAACCTAAGTAAGTGTCTAGTTATGCACGTTGGTGATTGTGCTGCTGTCGATTATGTAGTTAACGGCGTGAAACTTCCTACATGTAATTCTACGGCAGATCTTGGAGTTGATTTTGATTTCAAATTGAAAATTTTTAATCAGATTGACCGAGCTGTAGAGAAGGCATATTCTGCACTTTTCCATGCTTATGAGGAAATACCCATTGCTCGGATCCATCCATTCTTCTGCGCCTATATAAAGCTTATGTCTTACCAAATCTAGAGTACTGCTTGGAAATGTGGAGCCCTACTCTTAAAAAAGCCTTCCTCAAGATTGAAAGAGTTCAACATGTGTTCACCCTGCTGCTCTGGTACAGACCACCTCCTCTACAAGGCGACTCGATAATGTAGATCCTGTGCTAGCCTTCCCTGCTTGTAATATTCATTTGAGATTGCTCTCATTGCGCTCATTGCAGTATAGGCGAATTGTTTCCGACTTGGTGTTCTGCTTCCGCGTACTTCTGAAGGAGTTTATGACTAGCAAATATTGGTGTTTCAGACCAACGAGCGTGAGGCAGAGCGGATTCAACCTTCATTACGGTTACATACATCCTAAAAAGTATGCTATGATGTTCAACATAGTTTTCAATCGTTGCGCGAGTTGATTCGAGCTTCTGCCGTCTCACGTTCTCCAAGCGCCTGATAGCAAGGCTTTCAAAACCAGGCTTAGTAAGCTCAACCTCTTGCACTTTGAAAATTCCTGAGTTATTAGGTTGTCCGGAAAGTTCTCAGCGTTTTGGGTGTTTCACTTTAAACGATCATAACTTTTTTAATACTCATCGGATTTAATCGAAATAGGCACCATTCGAATCAGCACACTTTTGCCAATGTGACAGCAGTCGAGAAATCCCATCAAAGAAAAACTGGGTGGTCGAAAATTCACGAAATCCACGAAGGCTTTTTTGCCTGGTCCTGATTGATGAAGTATTTTCCAGCAAGGGAGTTCTGAAAATGTTTGAAAAGGTGATAGTCGATTGGCGAAAGGTCTGAAGAATATGGCGGGTGAGGTAGAACTTCACCCCCAATTCT